ATTAATAAAACAATTAAAACTGAAAGTCCTCGAGTATTTCTAAGAAAAAAATTGTCCCTAAACAAGACACTTGTTTTTCCGTTTGTACATTTTTTATTTGCAATTATAAATCTATACTTCCTCGACAGAGGTAGGAGAATGCAAAGATATTTTTCCTCGCTGTGAGTACTACGCCTCTTTGGGAGCTTGTCAAGATCAGAGATACGAAAAGTGGATGAGATCACGATGTGCTAAGACTTGTCGATTTTGTGGTAAGGTGGCAATGATGATCTCCAAGACAACGACTGATTTCACAATAGAGAGTCCGAGATCCAAAGTCCTAAATAGTCATTACATTAATTATCACTGAGCCGGGTCAGATCATAATAAGCCATATATATATGAGGCGCAATTGTTTCGATGTCGTTGTTTCGGTTGTTGTTAATTGTTGTTCCATCCGACGTTTGACAGAGATATTTCTTCGTAAATGTAGCATGAAAAAAATTAATCATTTTATTTTTACAGTGTAGATTTCTTGCTTCGCTAGCTATTTCAAGCAGCAAAGTAGTTTAAGCCTGCAAGGCTTATACACTAGTGTGGGATGTTTCTTTCAAATACAATTGCCTCCTTTCGTTCAANTCTTTCCTCGCTGTGAGTACTACGCCTCTTTGGGAGCTTGTCAAGATCAGAGATACGAAAAGTGGATGAGATCACGATGTGCTAAGACTTGTCAATTTTGTGGTAAGGTGGCAATGATGATCTCCAAGACAACGATTGATTTCACAATAGCGAGTCCGAGATCCAAAGTCCTAAATAGTCATTACATTAATTATTACTGAGCCGGGTCAGATCATATTAGTCATGAGGCGCAATTGTTTCAATGTCGTTGTTTCGGTCTTTAAGTTTTTGTTGTTGTTAATTGTTGCTCCATCCGACGTTTGACAGAGATATTTCTTCGTAATGTAGCATGAAAAAATTAATCATTTTATTTTTACAGTTCAGATTTCTTGCTTCGCTAGCTATTTCAAGCAGAAAAGTAGTTTCAGCCTGCAAGGGTTATATATATACAATAGTGTGGGATGTTTCTTTCAAATACAATTGCCTCCTTTCGTTCAACAACATTTTATGCAATCTTGTGTT